ACCATCCATATTACCTTGGGCCTGCAATTTAGCCAAATCTTCACTCAGAGCATCATAGGATTCTTCCAGGTTCCGTTTCTTCAGCTCCACACTTTGCATGTACTCAGTAAGTGAACGGATCTTGGCTTCATGCTGAGAAGATTGGGAAATGTAAGCAAATAAGAGATCCCTTTCACAAACGTAGTCCAGATTCCAGACTTCCCAATCTTATTTTCTATGAGGAAGAACTGAACTTTCTGCCTGTCCAAACTTGGAAACTGTCGTCTCTTCTCAAATACATCTTCAGAGTTCCAAAACAAAGAGAAGACCAAGCAATCAAAAAGCCCCTTCCATGCTGTATTTCAAGGGTATACCTATCATAGTTTACAGTACAATTCTATGCAAGTACATCCAGAAGCTGCAACCAATAGGACCACTTCTAAGAAATAATACACACGATTAATTAGATTAGATTAGGATTAATATTAATATTAATATTAATTAGATGAATCATTAATGACTATTTGAAATAGGAAATGTTTTTGGAGCAAAAAATAATCAATGTGTGTGCTTGTGGGTGTAGATATATTGTGTGATCTCCCCATTTCACACACAGCCTCATAAAATTCTTCATGGAACTATGGATTCATGAACACTTGCCAGCAGAATTTTTTAATTAAAAGAAAGGAATGTTTGTGTGATCCAGAATCAGAAAATAAAAAATGGAGAAAATTTTTAACTTATCCTCAATCTGCTATTTCTCTGATCCAGTTTTAAAAATTGGTATATAGAATCACGACATGCAACAGCATGAAGTCTGGCCCTAGGGATACAACCCAAAATATTAAATATTAAAAGAGAGCTCTGTGTACCAAAGTGATCTATAATTAGATTTCTCATTGTTTTCATACACAATTAGAAGCAATCGTGAGAAGGCTGGAAAATGGATTAGAATAGTGGCATTAGAGAAAGAAGGGTAATATATGAGCTAGTATTTGAAAAAAAATGGAAATAGGAGAAAGGATAAACCCTCTATGAATTTTTTAAAAAACAAAACAAAAATCCCACTCTCAGCTTAGCTTCCAATGACACCATGCTCCACAGTTTATGCTGATCCATTGTTACAGATATCACCATGTCAAAAGAACATTAAGATTCCTGCTGGGAAATAGCTTCTAGACACTCTGCTTGAGCTTGGTCTCCTAGATATATATATGTATAAATATTTAAAGACACATGCCAACCATTTGACTTCTACAGATTTGCTGTAAGAAATATTCATGGATTGGTACCAATGGTATCTTCTCCCTACTGAAACAATAGTAGAAGCAATAAACTGGACCAACAAAACCAGCAGTACAAGCTCCAGAGCTCCTGAATCTAGACACCAAACCAAAGTTTTAACCAGTCAGCTAAGGTCTCCTGAATTAGGAGCTCTCACTGATCTCCCAAAAAAGATTTTCCACCTTATCTGTCTTTTTTTAAGCTGGAGCTTCAGGTTTCCTGATACCTCTTTATAGGAGCTGACTAAGAAACAACAGAGGGCCAGGTTGTACAAAGAAGTAATTCTTTAAAACATTTGTCAAACTTCTCTCCGATATAGTCCTTTCCTGACGGCATGGGAGATCATCCCTTTTCTACTCCAGATTGGAAGAAAAGAAAGCTAATTAAATCCAGTGAAGTTCCTGATCGGATTGTATTACTTTTTCTACTTCCTAGCTCTCAAACATATAACTGAGATAGGTAGCCTATAAATCCCAGATACTGCTGAACTATAATTTCCATCAATCCCACCCAGCATGACGGCCAACAATGAAAGATGGAGGGGACGTTAATTCAATAAGATCTGGAAGGCCAGAGATTCCTTACCCAGATTGTGAAAATCTAGATGCTTTCCTATGAGGGGTATTCTGGTCCCTCTTATTTCTACCCTTTATCAGTTTTAAATGCCATAGCTAGTGTCCTTTCATCTCCACTTCCATAAATCTGACCTGAGAAATGAGAAGCTGGCAAGAAGATAATTCCCGTCCTGTCACCTCCATCTTGCGGTGGCACTCAACTTGAAGACCTTCCAGCTGACGGCAACGTTTCACGACTGACTTCACTTCTGATTTGATCTTGCTGATGTAGAGCCGGGCAACAGTAAATTCCTCCTCAATGGCACCACTAATTTCTACTGGCTACAAATTAACCATTTTAAAAGAAAACGTATTATTTGGGGCACATAGTTCAATGTATGAGTCTAAGAAGCAGAACAGTTTATACATCCTTTCTTCTTTCCTTTGCTCATCAGATGACTCTGTTCCCAGATCATTAAATTCCATTATTTTCTAAGTAGTTTTTCTTACTTTCTTCCATTTTTGTATGTGGTAATGTCAGCACTTAAATACCTTAAATGAACCCCTCTGTTTCTATTTTTTTTTTAAGTTGGGCATAACATTTAAAAGGGCTTGATTAAATATAGCAGATACTACCAAAGAAAAACATTAGGAATTTCCCCAGATCCATCTTATATGTTTCTAAACTGAGAGTGAATGACTACTTTTCTTATTTCCAAACACTGACCCCCCTACCAGCTGCTTACCAGTTTGATCTCACCATTGCCCACAATGACGCTGAATTCACTCAGATCTTTCATAAGGCCATTGAGGACTTCAGCAATGCGTTTGCGCTGGTGTGCGCTGAATTCCTGTAGGCGTTGCAACTCTGATTCCAAAGATAACATGGTGGCCTGTAAAGATAAAGGCATCTGTGGCTTATCCAGATCAAAGAGAATTCCTCTGGTTTAAAAATTTGGGACTCTCAATTTCAGTTAAAGGGAAAAGACCTTAATTTCTTGAATTAAATTAAGTAAATAAAACTGAATTAATTCATAAATTAATGATTTAATTTTTTAAGTGTCTTAATTTAAATGTAAACCCTCTGGTAGGAATTAGATTATCTATTCTATATAAATAAAAATGTAAATGTTCGTTTGTTCAAAATCTTAAATCTCCGAAAGTTCTTCACCGATTGCTTTGAAATTTTGACACAACGTTGCATTTGAATACGCGCGTGTTTTTATATACCTATATTATATAGATGTCACACCTGTGACAGGTAAAAACATGCTTTTTTGAAAAACAGCGCCATCTGTTGGACGCTTTGAAATTGCCATTGAACATGCAATTCATTGAAACTCCCACGTGCAACATTTCCAAAGCATCCGGCATGAGAAAAGTATTGCAGAAATGCAAACTTATTGTTTGGGATGAATGCACAATGGCGCATTGAGACTGAGCCACAGCAACGCGTGGCCGGGTATAGCTAGTACAAAATAAAATTAAGAAGAAAAAATGGTTTAAACTTGAATATACGCAAGGGCTCTGAGTAAACATCTAACTGGAGACAACAGCACACCCATTCCCTTTGTTATGGGAATGAAAGTTTCACTAGTTAAACCAAAAAAAAAAAAAAAGCTATGGTGAATTTATTATGCTGTTCTATGGTACTGCTATTCTGGAATCTTGTGCAGTTTTGGAATTACTGCAGTCCTGGAATCTTTCTCTAAGGAATCTCTGTATACCACCACTGTTTGCTTTTTGGCATCCTAACAAAACTTCTTTTGTTACTGAATGGCTTTTTAAGAACTTTATGAAGTCCTTTTGAAATTTTGATGAATGTATTGATTCTACAAGGGGCAACTCTAACTCGTGTTTTACAATCCACAAGATCTCAGCACTTACCACTTTCTGAGACAACTCATCCACCAATAGCTGATTCTGCTGATTCTTATCTTCTACTTCCTGGGATTTCTGATCATAGTTGACAGCCAGTTCCTCCAGAGCTTGTAGTACCTCCTTCACCTCTTCCTTAGCAGAATCATTCTCAGACTGCAGATGGCTTAGTTCCTGCTGCACTTTTTCATTGTCCCCACGAGTGGACATTAGCAGCTATCAGAAGGAAAAGGCGGGATGAGTTAGTGAGTAGTTAGAGAAATGTCAGAGGACATATAAGAAAGGAAGAAGAACAGGAAGGCGAAGTGAGGATGATGTAAAAAGAGGTAGAAATATATAGAGCAGGGATGTCAAACTGCTGGTCCGTGGGCCAGTTTCATCATACCGGAGCCGCGCCCACCCCATTGCCGGCAATGGCAAAAAAGCTCCGATATGTTGCGCGACGTCATGTGACGTCGCGAGTTTGACATGTCTGATATAGAGATATATACAGAGTGCTGAGAAACAGAAGGCTGTTATGGTTATACTAGTCTTTCTCTACCCAACTGCCTTCTGATTATATCTCCATCAATTCCAGTCAGTGATGTAGCTTGCTTAAAATGATCATAGCTGCAATCTAATAGAGCCTGAAGACACGTAACTGGGGAGGACTGGAATACAATTACAGTATTTAATTAAAGCGATGGGAAGACCAGGACAAAATCCATAGCCATCTACTAAGCTTATTAGGCAATGTTGGACACATCATCATCTCTCACAGGACTGTTGGGAGGACAATGTGATGAGAAAGAATGACCTATGACAGGGATAGGCAACCTTGGCGCTTTTATGACTCGTGGACTTCAACTCCCAGAATTCCTGAGCCAGCATGGCTGGCTCAGGAATTCTGGGAGTTGAAGTCCACGAATCATAAAAGCGCCAAGGTTGCCTACCCCTGACCTATGATATCATCTGCTTCTTTGAGGAAAGGCTGGCTTAAACTAGGTAACAAAGATAAGAAGTCAGGATGCATGTGCATAAAGGTACTCCAGGAAAATTACTCACCTCCTCCTGGTCCAGCATCTGCTCCTTTAGTTTCTCCATCAATTGGCTCTGCTGATTAATTTCATCATCCTGATTGGACAAAAATATGTCATTGCTCACTACCTTAGGCTGCGTCCATGGTTCAGACAGGTAAGGCACAAAGAAAAGACATTGTGACTGAGATGGGGTTAAAAGCAACTCAGGAGAAGTTTACATGGGATGGAGGAGAGATCTCTACCTTGTCATCAAGCTGCTTGTAGAGTTTGCGGATCTCCTCCTCATACTTATGCCGCTCCTCATCGGAGATCCGGATGACGATGGAGGAGTTGTTGTCATTAATGGGTGTCTCATCACAAGTATCAGGTACCACCTTCTCCTCATCACTCAACTGCTCTGTTTCTGGGACATTCTCACCTAAAAATGTTTAAATAGAAGACAAGGGACATTTTCACACACTTATTTTACTGCTGTGTTTATTATGAATCAGAAGGTACCACAGTGCCTTTCAGGGACAGATCTGTGCAATGATTACATGAGAAATCACACTTTTTCACCATTCTAAAAATGTGAAGCCCATTCAGAGGTATCAGAATTAAGGAAAATAGGTGTCCTTTTTCAGGGCTAGACAAACTCTGAAATTCAAGGCCATTTTGGTCCAAATCTCTGAATTGAGAGTGGATTATGCAGTATTTTTTCACAATAAGCACCTAATATGTTAAAGGAATACTACATCTGTTTTATTTTATTTATTTATTTATTTATTATTTGGATTTATATCCCGCCCTTCTCCTCGCAGGACTCAGGGCGGCTGACAATCAATTAAAATACATAAATAACAATACAAATTTAAAATTAATTAAAAGAGATATTTAAATATTGTCAAATTAAAATATAATTAAAACCCCTCTAAAAATTACCCTAGGCCAGTCCTGCAAGCTGG